AGCAGTAAGGCCCCATTCTCTTTCCAAAAAGTTACTTATCCAGGTAAATGTTTCTTAGGAATTAGGAAATATTTTTCCGAAAAGTTACCCAGATAAACGTTTCCTAGGAATTAGGAAATATTTACCAGGTAAGTGCATCTATTCATATTATTTTCTTTCTTAAGTAAATAAGACTAACTGTTTTAGCTATAAAAAGCCATTATTAAAATAAACAATTTTGTATATCAAAGTATTGGCAACTTGATGCCTTACAACCAACAAGCTTATCCCTACTCGTGGATTCTTTCACCAACATACTGGTGAGGGCCTCAGCACAAAGCACAAAGATGTAGGGAGATAGGGGGTCCCCTTGCCTGATTCCCCTATTGGCTCTCACCTCATTAGAAGGAGAACCATTAATAAGAATTTGAAAAGAAACTGATTTAATGCATTCCATAGCCCAATTTATCCATTTATTATGAAAACCAAACTTGTTTACGACTCTTTCAATAGTCACATTCCAACCTATCATAAGCCTTCTCCATATCAATTTTGCAAGCCATGATTCTTGTTTTACCCTTCTTTTCCATAGTATGGATCATCTCGTGGGCTATGAGAACAATATCTGATATTTGCCTATTTGGAATAAAAACACTCTGGTAGGGAGAGATAATATTATCCAAAAAGACTTAATCCTATTCACAAAGATTTTTGAGATGATCTTATAAATCACATTACAAAGACTAATGGGCCTAAAGTTATTGACCACTTCAAGGTTATCCAACTTCGGAATAAGCGTGATAAAGTTTTATTTAATTTTCGACTCATTTTCCCTGAGTGAAAGAAAGCCTTTATAGTCCTATAGACCGTATCTCCAATAATGCTCCAAAATCTCTTAAAAAACAAGACATTAAGTCCATCCAGGCCAAGGGCTTTGAGATCCTTCATGGAATTTGTGGTATTAAAAATTTCCTCATTTGTAACTTCTTTAATTAAATTATTGTTAATCTCCTCAGTAGCCCTTTGCAGTTTGTTGATGATTGTATGATTTTTGTGAAAACTTCAATTAATGCTTGTCTTAAGGTGAAAAATATCCTTAATAGCTTTGCTTTGGCTTCTGGTGAGATGCCAAACTACTCTAAGTCTTTTATTTCCTTTTCCAAGAATATTCCTGGTAGGCTTCAAAAGATTATGGCCAAAGTTCTTAAAATCCCTTTGGAGAAAAAAGATAAAAGTTATTTGGGTGCTCCTGTTATTAATGGGAGAGTCTCAAAAGGGGTTTTAGATCTCTTAGCAAGAAAATGGCTAGTAAACTTGCCAGTTGGAAGAAAAATACTCTCCCCCTTGCTAGCAAGTTGACCCTAATTAATTATGTTGCCTCTATAATTCCCCAATTTGCAATGCAATCTTTTAAAATCCCAAATAATGTCATTAACAAGCTAGAAAAAGCCCAAAGGGATTTTATTTGGTCCAATTCTAGAAGTCGAAATCCTATACATCTTGTTAACTAGAAGAGAATGTATACGGCCAAGAAAATGGGGGATCTTGGATTGAAAAACCTGAAACGGGTTAACAAGGCCTTCCTTGCTAAACTAGGGTGGAAGATTATTACTAACAAAGACAACTTATGGGTTAAGGTGGTCAAAGCCATGTATTTAAATAAATTAGACTTTATGGAGGTGGAGTTTAAGAATGGTATCTCTTGGGCTTGGAGAGGTGTTCTTGCCTCCAGAGATCTTCTTAGGAGTGGTATCAGTTGGAAGATTGGTAATGGTAACTATGTTAACTTCTGGAGGGACACTTGGGCTGGTAACTCCCCTTTCCTTGAGATTGTTAATCCAGAGGTTGTGTCAAACTTGGATTTTAGTGTTTTCAATGTTATTGACCATGATACAAAGATTTGGAAGGAAGATCTTATTAAGACTCTTGTTCCTGGTAGACTTGTTCATGGGTCGGGTCGGGCTTAGGCCGGGCTTTTACTCTTCATGAATAGAAATTTGTTAGGCCCAAGACCGAGCCTGGGCTTTTACTCATCGTCGGTGATTGTGTTCGTCAAAGCTGAGTTCGCGGTGAGCTGCGATTTTAATAGTGAAAAGTGTGTCAGTTCGCGTCAGAGAGAGAGAGAGAACTCATCGCCGCCGCCGGTGCCTATATTCACTGCCTCGCCGGTGTCTAAGATTTGAAAGAGAAGTGAGAAGAAGAACGAGAGAGAGAGAGAGAGAGAGAGAGAAGGAAAGGACTCACCGTCGGAGTTGTTGCACTAGTGAATGTTCACCGCCTCGCCGGTTGTGTGGCGGCCTGAGAGTGTGAGGACTGAGGAGGATGTGAAAAGAAGAGAGGTTCGGCTAAGGGGAAAGAGGTGAAAGAGGTGAAAGAGAAGAGAGGCTCGGTTTAGGGTTTTTTAAATTTAGTCTATAGGTCGGGTTGGGCTGGGCTATTTTGGCAAATCTCGAGCCCGACTCGAATTTATTGCGGGCCGAGCTTTTTGGCCCGAGGTTAAGCCCGTGGGCTCATTTGCATGTTCAAGCCCGTCCGGGGGTCAGGCCACCCGGCCCATGAACAGGTCTAGTTCCTGGTAGTGTTTGGCATTGCATCAAATCAATCTTGATTCCCTCTAAATTATCTGAGGATAGAATTGTTTGGAGACTCACTTCGGATGGAAATTTTTCTATAAAATCGGCCTACAATGAAGAATGTAGTCGGAATTGTGGAAATGGTGTTGGTGATGGTTATAAAAGGTCTTTCTGGAATCTTAAGATTCCTCCAAAAATTAAAGTATTCTTACTCCTCCTATTCAATGACAAACTTCCAACTAAAAGTAAGCTAATTACTAGAGGCATGAATTTGAATCCCAAATATGAATTTTGCAATGAAAATGAAACATCTAAGCATTTGTTTCTTGTGTGCCCCTTTACTAAGCAGATTTGGTTAAAGATGGGATCCTTGCTACCGATCCCAAGTTCTAATGATAATTCGATAAATGACTAATGGTCTAATGCTTTGAGAAATCAAGATTCTATTAGTGAACAGTTTGTTAAAGAAAAGTTGGCAGTGTTATTGTGGTTTATTTGAAAAAATAGAAATGATAAGTGATTTAACAATAAATTTGCACATCCCCAAATTATTATAGAAAGGACTCTTGCTTATTGGGGAATGGGAAAAAATCAAATCTTGTTTTTCTTCTGGTCCCAATGAAATTTCTAAAGAATGAAATTTTATAAGATGGCGTAATCCCAATCCCGTGACTGTCAAAATTAATTTTGATGCATCCTATAAGGCGGATAGTTGGTGCTCCATAGGGTGCATTGCTAGGGACCATATGGGTTTTATTCTGGACCTCAAAGCCTATTGTATCAAAGTCTCTTCAATAAATCAAGCTGAGGCTGAGCTACTTGGGAGGCCATCAACATTGCTTTGAATTTTAAGAATTCCCCTCCATTATTGAATAAGACTTGAAGCTCGTGATTAACTACCTCAAGGAAGGAGTTAAGCCCCCGTGGAGATTGGAAAGCATCATCAGTGAGTGTCTATTCCTCAAGTCCGAGTTTAGTTCAAGCATTTACTTTTGGCATACATATCATGAAAAAAACCAGGCGACTAATTGACTAGCACGCAATGCCCCGTCCTATCGTCCAACTAGTTTAGGTTCAGTCCCGGATCTTAGTCAGATTTGTTTTTTTTATTCCTGGGGGAAGGGCTACCCCCGTCTTGTGTAGCCCCTAAAATTGGCAACTTTTCCCTCGTGTGGAAAAATTATTTACCCACCCCGGAACACCCCAGTGACCACCTGTGTGACGCATGTGCTTTATAAGAATAGATTATCAACTATGGGATAAGCAGGCAAATGGATAAGAACAAAGCATGAACAAAACATTTGTACGCATTGGAACTTATACCATAGTAACTTGACTTCTCATGGTTTGAATACTCAAACCAGACTGAACCAAACCATGGTGAAGGCATTTGATTTCTGTGATTAAAAGCCAAGTATATCAGGGAAACCATAAGCAACTTTGAACCTCACATTACATAGAATTATGTTTTATGTGCCAGGGACAATCGTTTTGGTCACAGATCATTGATAGAACAGTGCAATCATCTCGTTCAGCCATTCAACTCATTCAAATTAAACAAAAAGAAAAAGATGCCAACATTTCTAAGAACAGAGCAGCCTAAACACAGATTTGGTTGCTTCCTAAGTCTGACAATACTGATGAAGCTTGGAGGTCTGTGAACAACTGAAGACCAAGGTAACAATTCTCAAGCATTTGAATATCTGAAGCCATGAAAATAAAAAATTTATGACACTCTGAAGTCTCAAGTAATAGCTCAAATCAATCTTGTGGAAATTAAGCTAGTTGGCAACATGAATTCTGCCATCCTGTTTCAGAATACCACCTTATCTAGGGCCTCTATTCTGTTCAGTCTGTCTTTTTCATACCAAATGAGATGAAAAAAACCTTAGACCAAAAACATAGGGTGTTTCTTTTTCTTTTCTTTTTTTTTTCTTTTTTCCCCTACCAACTAATCCATACAAACAAAGATTCGGGTTCTAAGTACTAACCCATAAAATTCTGCCTTCTTACTTCTATGTGAAGGCAAGTATTACTTCAGTCAGACGTTATAATCTAAGCTCCAGAGGCAGAGGAGCAGGCCAGCAGGGGTCTGGTAACGGAGTAGATTGGAGAAACATGAATAACTGCTGCTTCATTTTGTAAGAGTCAGATCAACAGTATAAATGTAACAAGAGAACACAAGGAAGTATGAGCCATTTTGCTAATTGCACTCGATTTAAGTTATACACTTAGTTAAGATAATCATTGAGAACCACTGACTGAACAAGCTTAGCAAAACATAAAAGAAAACAGGGGAATTCCCCAATCGGTGCACTCAAAATCCCAACCCAAAAAGGAAATAGTTATGAATAAACCAGAAAAAAAAAAGAGCAAAGTATAGTCCATGTGATGTTCTTGCAAAACCCCTCCTACCAAACCGAAGTAATTCATCCATGAGAAACAATCTTCTACCATAAAATCATCAGAAATGAATACCTGAATCAGATTAAAATTAATTCATAAGAAGGACAAAGTAGTTTCTTCAGTAACATAGAAGAAATCAATCTTATAACCTCACTACTGTATGTGAAGAGGGAATCAAGTAATTCCAGGGATTCCCACCAGAAGTTTCTAGTGCTATCAAAGACAATAGATGAAGTTAAAAAACCAATATATTGATGAGCTACATCCAGAGCTCACCTCCAAGCAATTCAATTCAACACGAACCCATTTGCCTCTCTGGTTCCTCATCACCACCAATTATCAACACGGACAAGCCTACTCTGATCGGTTCGCGTACCTCTCGACTTTGTCGTCCTTAAGATTAAGCCCGACCATGGCCTCACCCAGTCCGCAGCTCACCTCGGCAAGAATCTCCGGGTCACTGTAATGAGTCACGGCCTGAACAATCGCCCGAGCGCGGCGAGCCGGGTCACCACTCTTGAACACACCGGAGCCGACGAATACACCATCGCAGCCCAATTGCATCATCAGCGCAGCATCGGCCGGAGTAGCCACACCACCGGCGGCGAAGTGAACAACGGGGAGCCTGCCCAGCTGTTTAGTCTGCATGACCAAATCATACGGCGCAGAAATCTTCTTAGCAAAGGCGAAGACCTCATCGTCGTCCATGTTGCGAAGAACCCTAATATCACCCATCACCGAACGCACATGCCTGACGGCCTCAATAATGTTACCAGTGCCAGCTTCACCCTTGGTCCGAATCATGGCCGCACCTTCGCGAATCCTCCGCAGAGCCTCGCCGAGGTTGCGGCAGCCGCAGACAAATGGAATCCTGAAGTTGTGCTTGTTGATGTGGTTCTCGTCGTCAGCGACAGTGAGGACTTCGCTCTCGTCAACATAATCGACACCGATTGCCTCAAGGATCTGAGCTTCGACGAAGTGCCCGATCCGAGCCTTGGCCATGACGGGAATGGTGACGGCTTGCTTGATTTCCTTGATAAGGCCGGGGTCGCTCATCCGAGCGACACCGCCCTGGGCACGTATGTCGGCAGGGACGCGCTCGAGAGCCATGACAGCGCAGGCGCCAGCCTCCTCGGCGATCCTAGCCTGTTCGGCGTTGACAACGTCCATAATGACGCCACCACGGAGCATCTGAGCGAGTCCAACCTTGACGGAGAAGGGGGACGTCTTGGCCTCGGTGAGGGCTCCATTGCCGTAGACCGTGACAACACCGGTTCCAGCCATCTCGTCTAAAGATGCAAAGTGATCTTCACAGTCACACCTGAAAAAGAATTACAGAAACAACATCAGAATTCAGAAATGATAAACCCCAAACCTTTCGAAACAAAACAAAAAAAAAAACAGAAGAAAACGAGTTCTTGTAAGTAGGAAAAATTACACGAGCTCGAGCGATAATGATAGAGGGGGAGCGAGAGAGAGAGAGAGAGAGAGAGAGAGGGTTGTGGCTGCGAAAGACGGGACAGGAAAATAGGGATAAGTGAAGCGAGGAAATTGAACGCTTCCACACTCACACGGCCTTGCCTTATATAAAGGAAACTTGGAGTCTTGGACTTAGGCGTGGATCATTTTGAAACCCGATTTATTACCCTACACGGTTCTGGGTTGGGTTGGGTTTGTTTAGGCATTTAGGGTTGATTCTTCCTACAACCCCACCCCATGACCCAACCGTATTTCAGACCTAAAAACATTTCACAATAATGATATTAAGGCATCGTTTGTTTATCAACTAACGCGCTTAATTTTCATTGCCAATATTAATAAAGGATTAACGTTTTCGGTGGGTGGTGGTAGATAAACAATTAAACACCCTCTAGGTAAATTGATACTTTTTGGAAAATTCACCCATTATATATAACGGTGTATGAACACCGAGAAATTGATCAATTATTTGATTGACTAATTTACCCCTCGAGATACCAACGGACTAACAGACAAACGGGACCTAAGACTAATATGATATCGGGTAAATTTTAGGATAGCCTTTTGGGTCAGTCTCAACCCGAGCCTACCCAGAAACCGGCCCGAACAACAGCCCTTGAGGCTTGAGCAGCAGCCTATAAATAAAAATGAATAAAGAAAAACGCAAGTTGGGAGTCGTGGACGTGAAATCTGAAATGTGGCGCGCATGCAAAGGCCATAGATTAATTAATTAAAAGTGGGCATCGTCGTGAAAAAAAAAAAGAGCCGTTGATTTGAAATCTTTTGTGTAGTGACTGGTGAGTGGACTAGTGTGAGCCGAATGGCTGAGGTGATGGGCTTTGGGCTCCGAATTCACTCCACTGACCATGACGTCAGCTCATGCGAAACCCATGTCTTATTTCAACCGTTTGATTGGCTCCAAAATGCAAACGATGCCAATATGATATATATACAAAGAATAAAATAAAAAATAAATAAATGTGATGCCTAATTTTAATTGGCAATTTATAAAAATGAAAACAAAAGAGGGGCACATATGAGGCGGCGAAGGAAGCAGCGAAGAACGCCGCTCGTTCCCAATCTGCTATGCTTTCCACAAGAAAGATTTGATAGCAAGCGTTCCAAGTTGCTCACTCAACCGTCACTGGTCTCGTCTCACTTCATTCGTCACTTTCTTTTTTTCTATTATCCCCCGCCTCTCACTCTCTCTCGTTTTTGAATGGAGGAAATAGAGGAGGGATGAAGAAAATCGTGGTCGCTTTTCCCTTTATATATTTAATTATTATTTATGCTTTAACTAATGAAGCTTTCGTCGTCTAAACCAATCTTAGGGTTAGGGATTTGACGAATGTTAGCTCTGGATTAGGAGGTGGTGGTCTTTGTCTCGCTCTCCACACTGACTCACACACAGCACGGGGTGGATCTTGGGACCCGCAACTTTATAGCTTTTATGATTCTCATCTCTTTTGTTTTCTTCTTATCGCCCAGGTCTCGGTCGCACTCACCCTCACACCCATGCTTCAAAACCGCTGCAATGGGCGGCGCTCGGGATGGTGGGGGGGCGGCTATTCTGTCCTTATTTCTGTTTTGTGGTTTTCAATGCTCTCAAATATGATCATAAACCCAACCCAACTATGGCGCTTGAACCCTTGTTTAATTTATGGGTCCCAACAGAATTGCTCGCCAATTGGATCGTTGCTTGCACACTGAGTTGAACGCTGAGTTTTGGATAATAATGTTCTGAGATCATGCTTAAAAAAGCATGACAAGCAAGAAACAGTCTTCCACTTTCTGTTGGCAAATTGATCCCAAATCACAACCACTCCTGTAAACTAATAATACATACACTGCTTTCTTCTTCTCTTTCCTCCTTCCCCATAAAAAGAAATATTATATATAAGAGATAAGAAAAACTTACCTTTCTATCTTGTCTTTAACTTTCTTATTTTTCTCCCTTGCCAATAAAACCAATGAAAGTCACTTTCTTTTAGATTTTCTTTCCATTGTTCCAAGAAAAAAAAATTAACAATAAAAACTCAGTATGAAGGAAATCAAACGATTGGGCTACTTAAAAGATGAGCTTAAGCTAATAAGCTATCATAGTTGTTTACCATCTGTAGCTCATTATTTACAGTCCCAGAAGCTGCAATTGCAACAGCATTACTTTCTGTTCAAAGAATAAAAGGTAACCATCTAAGTTTCGAGCTTAATAAATAAAAAATAGGGGATTTAATTGTACTAAGATCTACATCTAACATCTAACTCAAGTATAGACTATAGAGCAATTAACATCGAGAAAAGGCGAAAAATAAGTGGGAATGACTGTGGGATAATAAAAACTTCAACACTGAATCACTGATATAACAAAATACAGACTGGGACGAAAAGACAATATCAAGAAAAAGGCCAGGCGTGCTTCCACAATAAAGGATCTTACCATCCCCATGTTGGAAAGAAACCGATTCCAGGGAGGAAACACTTAAAATTAATGGGTAAGACCAACACCATTTATGCTCGCTTCTTCTCCATCATCCTTACATCACCGATTATTTTTCTCTTCTTCTGTATCCAACTCTCAATCAAATCGTGATCAGCAGGCTGGAGGGTGCATGGGAGGGATAATGAAGAGGAGGCAGTTGAACTTTCAAGGAATTCCCTCAGCTTTGCGTCTGCAAAGCAGAGAAGGGACTCCTCACAAACTTCCTGAGCAGACGACGGTGGAGCAGGCTTGAAGTCCTGCAGCTTTGAGTACTCAGAAACGAGGTGATACATGTAATCATAAACTCGATCCATGGACAAACTTTCCATGAAAATCTGTCCTCTTTTGCCAATGGCCTCCGCCTGCTCAGCAATAGATAAAAAAGTATCAAGCTGACTGGTAAAAAGTAAGCAAAATAAAAAATAAAACATCAAAAATACATCTGTACTGTTACTTAAGCTCGGTTGAACTGCATTTGGTTAAGTTAGCACTCTTTGCACCTAGCCATATTCTAGGGCTGAAGCTTACATGTCTCCTCTTTTGGATGGGTCTTCACAGGCAAGATTTGTCGTGTACTTGCTAACCAGCAGTTTAACACATATCCTTTTTGTTAATGCCATTACTTCAGCATATTTGAAATATGTTAGATTGTTATTATATAACTGGTGATAGAGCACATGATATGCATGTGTAAGAATTAACAATAACAATATGTAATATATGGTATTGGATTTAACTTATATGGCTTGCACGTAGGGGTGTCAATTGGACTGGATTTGGTCCAATCCGGCCCAGTCCAATGTGAGTCCATTACAAATGGACCTGGTCCAATCCAGTCCAATGAATATTTTGGACTGATCCAGAGACTGTTCAATCTGTTCAAATTCCTGTTAATTTAGATTGGTTTCAACTCAAACCTGGTCCATTGACAACTATGTTCTTATCTTCTATCAATGGACCAGATATTGGCTCAATCCAATATAAATTCATTATGGATAGACCAGGCCCAATCTAATATGTCATTTTTTATAGGAAACGGTAACTTTCATTAGATAATTGAAAAGATTACAGGCTTACCACCCACGAAATGGATGGAAAAAGAAAATCAAAAACTTACAAACAGGCCCAAAACAAAGCCTCCCTAGTAACTCCTTGCTTAGATAAAGTGTCAGCCATTCCATTTGCTGACCTTCTTACCCACTTAAAATGCACCCCAATCTCCCTTGCTAAGCTAATAATCTCTCTTAGAGGCTGTCTAAGAGACCACACTCCCAGATTTCCAGTTTGCATCCACCCTATTACCAGCTTGGAGTCTCCTTCCACTTCTAATTGTTGCATTCCCCATTGTTTCGGCAGTTTCAAACCTTGAAGTAAAGCCATTACTTCTGCCCTTAATGAATCTACCACCCCAATTGGGCCCGAGTAAAGGGCCAAGACTTTTCCTTCCTCGTTTCTGTACACACCTCCAACTCCTGACTGACCTGGATTACCCAAGGAGCTTCCATCAAAGTTTAGCTTCACCCTGAACTGAGGCGGTGGTACCCAACAATCTCGTACCACAGGGGAGGAAGACGAGGATACAACTATAGCACTCCAATTTCTAATTAAGTCCGCTGAGGAGAAATCCTTGAAAAGGTGATGTACTTTCAGCCAGTGCATAACCTTGATGGCGACAACCTCCACAAGTGCTTCCTTGGATTTTTCTTGCCCTAGGAAAATCCTATTATTTCTCTCTTCCCAAATTGACCATAGGATGGCAGCTCTTGTTATTCTCCACATTACCCTACCCCTTTTCCTTGGTTGTCGGAAGAAGCTAGAGTCAAAAAGGTTCAGCACACCCAAGGGGGGGTTCCATCTGTAACCAAACAAAGAAGAGAACCAATCCCACAAATAATAAGCAAAAGGACAAGAAATCAAAAGATGAGTCAACGTCTCACCATTTCTTAAGCAAAGGTAGCAAACATGTGGGGAAAGGCTCCAATCTGACATTTTTCTTTGAAGTACATCCATAGTATTGATCTTTTGAAGAGCCACTTCCCAGCAAAAAGCCCTAACCTTTGGCAACACAGGAGAATACCATATTTCTTTAGCAGGAAAAGAGACAAACACAAAAGAGGACTGAACTAGAGCGTTGAAAAAAGATGAACAAGAGAAAGTCCCTGAAGAGGACTCTTTCCAAATTCTACTATCTGGGTAGGAGAGATCTAGGAAAACTAAATTCAACACAATGAATAATTCATCTACAAAAGCCAATTCTGAATCCCTCAACCCTCTTATCAAACCCAAATCCCAAGTCCCCTCAGACACATGAAGTGAGGAGATGGTTTTGAATTTATTTAGGGAAAGAGAATACATTACTGGGAATCTATCCTTAAGGTGGGTGTTCCCAAGCCAAAGGTCCTCGCAAAACAAAATTTATTACCAGCACACATCAAATCTGATGAAAGGCTGAAAGAAAGACAAGACTCTAGCAATTGCTTTCCAAGGGGAGAAATGAGAAGCCCTAGGGTCGAAGCCAGCATCCCATCCATTAGCTGCCATCCCATGAATACTTTCCACCGCCAAGTGCCACAAACTGTCCTGCTCCAAAGGAAATCTTCACAACCACTTTCCTAACAAAGCTACATTTCTTAATCTAGTATTGCCAATGCCTAGACCCCCGCTTCCTTTTTCCTAGAAACTACTTCCCACTTTACTAAATGGTCTTTTTTGAGTCACCTGGTTCCCACAGAAAATCTCTCATGAACTTTTCTAAATTATTGGCAACCTTGGCAGGAAGCTTAAAGGTAGACAGAAAATACACCGGAATGTCATATTGGTTCATCCAGTCCGTCCAAATTCAATGTCTTATTGGTTCGTCTAATCCGTCCAAATGGATTTTGATTTGGACGAAGTCCAACCCAAAACCAATCCATTGACACCCCTACTTGCATGGAACCCAAAGTAAGCATTTGCTTTATATAATTATAAGTGTTCAGCTGAACAGAGAAGAGAGAGAAAGAAAAGAGAGAAGAAGAAGAAGAAGAAGAAGAAGAAGAAGAAGAAAGAAGAGAGGGAGAGAAAGTGTCGAACTAAGAAGACTCTTCGTCTAACCCAGTCGACCATATACTTAATCTTGAAAAAATAAATTACAAAGACTGAAATGCCCTTGCATATGAGAAGACATACAGCCAACACCTTACATAAAGGGAAAAGACCAAAATACCCCTCTCTAAACGACTCTAACACTCCCCCTCAAGTTGGAGAATATATATCATATAATCCTAACTTATTACATATGTAGCTCACTCCCCCTGAACTCAACCCTTTTGTGAACAGATCTACCCATTGATCACCTGTTCTCAGATGTCCTGTCCTTATCACACCATTGATGACCTTTTCCCTTACAAAGTGACAATCTACCTCTATGTGTTTAGTTCTCTCATGGAAAACTAGGTTGGATGAGATGTGAATTGTAGCCTAATTTTCATAGTATAGCTTCATGGGTTTGCTTATTGAGAACCCGATTTCCTGCAATAGATTCTTCAGCCACACTAGTTCACATGCAGTGTGTGCCATGGCCCTGTATTCTGCTTCTACACTGCTCCTTGCTACCACAATCTGCTTCTTGCTCTTCCAAGTCACAAGATTTCCTCCGAGAAAGGTGCAATAACCTGTAGTGGATCTTCTGTCTAATACAGATCCAGCCCAATCTGCATCGGTGTATCCAACTATTTCAAGATTACCTCTTAGCTTGTACAATAACCTACGACCTAGAGCCCCTTTCAAATACCGCACGATCCTAAGAACTGCATCCCAGTGAGATACCCAAGGACTCTGCATAAACTGACTTACCATACTGACAGTTAGATAATTCAGTTTTCCCACTAGCCTTCTATACCTTCCAGGATTATCAAATAATTCACCTGTGTCACTTCCCAACTTCACATTCAGTTCCATAGGGGTTTCAACTGGCTTAGCACCTAGTAACCATGTTTCTTCCAACAAATCAAGTACATATTTCCGCTGACAAAGGTTTATGCCTTGCTTTGATCTAGCAACTTCTATACCCAGGAAATACTTCAACTTCCCAAGATCTTTTGTCTGAAAGTGATCTTGTAGGAAGGTCTTCAATCTATCAATCCCAACTTTATCACTGTCAGTTATAACTATATCATCCACATAAACTACCAGCAAGATCTTCTCAACCACAAAATAATAGCTAAATACTGAATGATCAATCGACATTGTCTAATTCCAAACTCCACCACCTCACTAAATTTTCCAAACCAAGCATGGGGAGACTGTTTGAGCCCATAAATTGCCTTCTTGAGCTTACACACCTTACCATCTTCCCCCTGAGCAACAAACCCCGGTGGTTGCTCCATGCACACCTCCTCTAGAAGATCCCCATGGAGAAAGGCATTTTTAATATCAAGCTGAAATAGAGGACAATCATGCATGACAGCTAAGGAAATTAACACACGTACGGAGCCAATCTTGGCAACTGGAGAAAAGGTTTCAACATAGTCTACACCATAAAGTTGAGAATACCCTTTTGCAACTAAACGGGCTTTCAGGCGTTCTACTCGTCCATCTGGTAGATACTTAACAGTATACACCAATTTACAACCAACAACATGCTTACCCGGGGGAAGAGTGGTGAGTTCCCATGTCTAATTGTGATGAAGAGCAGAGAGTTCCTCTTCCATAGCTTTTCGCCACCCTGGCAATGTAAGAGCCTCTTGAACATCCTTAGGAATTGATACAGAGGACAACAGGGTAATAAACTAGCGATGGGAAGCAAAAAGGCGAGATACAGAAACATAATTGGATATGGAGTGAAGCATGCAACTACGTTTACCTTTTCGCAATGCAATAGGAAGGTCAAGATCAGAAGCCAATTAAGTTGTGGAACAGGTTGGATCTACCGTCGAAGTAGAAAGTGGTGGAGATGTTGATCTCTGTCGATGAGTATATACTTGATGAATTGGTGGTCGTTCAAGACGCTCCTGTAATGGGACCAGAGGAGACCCAGGCACAAGGGGAACCACCGAAATGGAATCATCAACCAAAAGAGGACGAGGAACCTCCGTAGGCAAAAGATAGATATCAAAACCAGAGAAGTATGGCACTGATTCAAAAAATGTAATATCATGACAAACAAAGGATTTCCGGGTAATAGGATTGTAGCATTTATACCTTTTCTAGGTCCTAGAGTAGCCAAGGAAGATACATTTAATGGAGCAAGCATCCAACTTGTCTAAACTAGGACAACGATTCTGAACAAAGCACAACCCAAAGATCATGGGTGTCAAGGGATATGGAGACAAAGTGGGAAACAAGATAGAGAACGGAGAACGACCATCAAGAATGAATGTGG